ATACACCTAGGATGCTTCGAGGGTAAGTAAAACACAAGCTAATTTTCATTTTTGGGTGAACTAACCCTTTAAGTGTCAATTTTTCGAAATTGATATATATCATCCGAAAGTTGAATAAATAAGCTTTCCATTGATGTATAGGACAATATTTGGCTGAGATACAACTATTTGAAAATCTGGAATCTGAGGGTGCAAAAAAATCTAAGCAAAAAAAATCAAAATATTGAGAAAATCACCTTTAAAGTTGTTCAAATTAAGTTCTTAGCAATGCATATTGCAAATCAAAACTGAAGTTTTGATATATTTACGGTAGGAAATGTACAAAATATCTTCATGGAACATGATCTTTACTTAATATCCTAATGATTTTTGGCATAAAAGAAAAATCGATAATTTTGACTCATACAATGTATTTATGGCTATTGTTACAAATATACCCCAGCGACTTAAGACTGGTTTTGTGGTCCAGGGTCACATTTATACTGTTTAGAAACAATTCTCTGAATTGCCTTTACACGGACTTTAATGTTATCTTCCCTATAGCTCTTTTCCGTACAACAATAGTCCATACCAAACCAACCCAGATAGCACACATACTGTATGTCTGCAAGATGTCTGTTGAAGATCACTTCATCTTGAAAGCATCTGCTGTGTACAAACATCTGATAAACATCTTTAAGATGTCAGTTTTACTGTACATACATAAATTCATTCTAAATCATAATCATCTTAAAGACATTTTCTAAATGTCTATTTGACGTCTGACAGGAAACGTCCTAGAGACATATTGCCGAGGAGCAAACACTCTAAAAAATACATCTTGCAGATGTAAGCATGCACTTCAAATAGACGTCTCTGAGATGTATGTGTGCAATCAGGGAATGATTAAAGTATGGCACTAAACGTGCATATGCACAAATTTGTGCGTGAAATCCATATACAAGCATTTTCACAAATAAATCATGATTCACCAACTTTAGTACTAAATTTTAGGGGGCGTTTATATGACAGTTACACGTCAACTTTTGAAAATGGGTTTCAAAGTGCAAGTTTTTGAAAACAATATTTATTGTTTGTGTAAACTACAAAAGCACACATTTGTGAAAATGGTGACATCGTGCACATGTATATTATGTGTTCAGTCTAAAGGTATGTGCGGAGGTGCGTAGTGTTTCTTTACAAAGTGACATCGCCAACTATTGGCCTGGCATGCATAATACAACATTTTTAGTTGTTTGCATGGATTTGTGTGAATGAGGATTGATTTTACAACTATGTAGTCTGTACGCAAAACAGTACATTTAACATTTTTAATACTATACATTGTTATCATGTGAATGTTACCTTATTCTAAGATGTACAAAAAAAAAAAAAAGGAATTGCTAGAGGATTTTGCTTGCTGACTTTATAGAGCGTGGTATGTTTGCTGAGAGTGATGAAAGGTTGTGCGGAAAGCACTATTGGTGGATTGGTCATGTTTTATGCAAATAACTGACCTTACATGGTCGCTCACTATGAATACTCCAATTTATTAACATTAGAAGGAGGTGCTGTGAATTACGAAAAACAAATTGTGAGAAGTTCTCCTGTGTGTATAAATACAAAATCCACACAGTTATTAGTGAATGAGAACCACTATATTTTGAGACCTAAAAAAAAAAGGTCATTATTAACAAAAAGTCTCCCCGGAGTGGGAAGTGTTGCAAATTGGAGTGCTACATTCTTCCAGACATGTGAGAATCATTGGCATAAATGATGCAATGAGGCACAATGTTTTTTCAATTTGAGCACAATCGTGACTATAATATGAGAGCAAATTTCGATCTGTTCATCACATTAAGATTTCATGTACAGTGGGTACGGAAAGTATTCAGACCCCCTTAAATTTTTCACTCTTTGTTATATTGCAGCCATTTGCTAAAATCATTTAAGTTATTTTTTTTTCCTCATTAATGTACACACAGCACCCCATATTGACAGAAAAATTTAAGGGGGTCTGAATACTTTCCGTACCCACTGTATATTTGGAATATTACGCACAAGTCGTATGGATTTTTATGATACTTCTAAGGCGTTGTTCTGTGCTTTTGAATCTTGGGCTTGTTGAGTGGGATAGAGCTGTGTGAAGTTTCTTCAAAATTCTCCTCTTGGGTTCAATGAAAAAAATGCATAATATTTTTAGCTGTGCCACTGTAAAAGAGCAAACTGTATTTAGATAACTAAACTGTAAAATGCCGCACCAGAAGGTTTCCATTACTCTGACGTTGCACACTTACCTGCTGTATGTCTGAGACCAGAGCCTGCAGAATGAAACTAGGAAGAAAATCCCTCCAGTGATCTGAAAAGCACATCCTGACCATCCAAGGAACAAGGGAGTTCCCAATTCAAATCTGAAACATTGACATATTTAACAAACAAAAAAAAAGAAATATATTACAAACACAATATATGAAATACTGAAAAAAAAATGTATTTGCACAGTTAATTCTATGGATTTTTTTTCTGTTATCTACATGGGATCTACATTGTACGGTAAAACAATGGAAGCCCATTTCCACCATGGAAAAAAGGGAATTTCGGCTTTTTATCTCGCAATTAGGAATTTTTTCTTGTATTTCTGAGGGAAAAAAGTCAGAATTGCAAGAAAAATTCTCTTTTTTTCTTGCAATTCTGATGGTGTTTTTCTTCTTCTTAGAATTATAATCTTAGAGTTTACATTTCACTACTCTGACTTTTTCCTCGCAATTTGATATCTTGTTTATATCTTGCTATTCTGACTTTTTTTCTCAGAATTGCAAGTCGCAGTTACCTTTTTAATTTTTTTATTCCATGGAGACAACCTTCTATAAAAATAAATAAATAAATAAAAATTCTTCATGTACTTACTCCAATCCATCAAATCTGGGGTTGAAGTACTCTGCAGAAACATGCTGAGCATAAAGTGCATAACCAGAGGCAGCCAGCATACCTTAGAGAACAGACGCAGTAAGACACACGTGCAAGCTTCATTTACAATGGGTCTGCTGTATATTATGAAGAAATGTACCACTTGTTACGTGACAGATGCCTCCTGTGAACACAGATCGGTTCTTCTCTTTGTCTTTTCCTCCGATGTAAGTGCATTCCATTCCCACGAGACTCAGGATAAAGGCCAGCACTCCAACAGCCATCCCAGACATGAGCAGAGCCCTCACGATCTGAAGATAACCTGAACATCCAAGATCCAAAGAATGTATTATCTGTCTGTCTGTCTGTCTGTCCATAGAAAAACCACTTTGGTTCCCCAAATAACCTTTCAGTGAACAGTTCTTAGTGTTCAGTGTTAATGTTCAGTGAACATTTTAATAATGTAAAGAACTTTTTTTTTTTTTACTATAAAGAACCCTTTGTGCAATGCACTCTTAACCCTCTGGTCCTGTTCAGTCATTTTTGACCGAAATGAATGGGAAGGGAATTTCTTCTAGAGGAAACGCTTGGTACTGTGCCCAAACAAAATCTTACCTTTTTTTTAGCTACTTTTAAATATCAACCTCAAATTTGGAACACAATTAGTTTAGATTTATGCCTTTGATTTTCATGCAGTTTTAATTTTTGGAAAATATATATTTCATATAAATTATATATGATAAATATAATATTATAAATAATAATATGATATTATAAAAAAAATATTTTTGTGCTGCATTATAATTTAAACTTGTTTCACTTTTTTTCTTTCACTTTTTTTCTTTTCTTTTTTCACATCTGCCAAGTCTTCTTTAAAAAGAGACCAAACGTAAATGTGTACTACAAAGCATTCAAGATTTACGTTTAAGTTGTAAATTTCATTTTCAGGTCTATGCTCAAAAAGTTGTTAAGACGTAATAAGTGGATCATAACTATTCTATATACAGTGGGTACGGAAAGTATTCAGACCCCCTTCAATTTTTCACTCTTTGTTATATTGCAGCCAT